CGAACGGGAGTCATAATCATTCTAGGACATCTTGGGACTATCATGATGAGAAAACGGAGAGGATTGAAAATTTCATTTTTTGGCAAAAACGATGAGCTAACCCCTTGCCATTTTTGCCAAAAATGGGCGATTTCGAATATATCCAAAATTTGCCTTTACTCCCCTTTAGGAAACGAACGGGAGTCATAATCATTCTAAGGACATCTTGGGACTATCATGATAAGAAAACGGAGACGATTGAAAATTTTCATTTTTTGGCAAAAACGATGAGCTAACGTACCCCTTGCCATTTTTTGCCAAAAATGGGCGATTTCGAATATATCCAAAATTTGCCTTTACTCCCCTTTAGGAAACGAACGGGAGTCATTATCAATCTAAGGACATCTTGGGACTATCATGATGAGAAAACGGAGACGATTGAAAATTTTCATTTTTTTGGCAAAACGATGAGCTAACCCCTTGCCATTTTTGCCAAAAAGGGGCCATTTTCGAATATATCCAAAATTTGCCTTTACTCCCCTTTTGGAAACGAGGGAATCATTATCATTCTAAGGACATCTTGGGAATATCATGATGAGAAAACAGAGAGGATGGACAATTTTCATTTTTTGGCAAAATCGATGAGCTAACCCCTTGCCATTTTTACCAAAAGGGACGATTTTCGAATATATCAAAATTTGCCTTTACTCCCCTTTAGGAACAAACGGGAGTCATTATCATTTTAAGGACATCTTGGGACTATCATGATGAGAAAACGGAAACGATTGAAAATTTTCATTTTTTGGCAAAAAAGATGAGCTAACCCCTTGCAATTTTTACCAAAAGGGACGATTTTCGAATATATCCAAAATTTGCCTTTACTCCCCTTTAGGAAACGAACGGGAGTCATAATCATTTTAAGGACATCTTGGGACTATCATGATGAGAAAACGGAAACGATTGAAAATTTTCATTTTTTGGCAAAAAAGATGAGCTAACCCCTTGCAATTTTTACCAAAAGGGACGATTTTCGAATATATCCAAAATTTGCCTTTACTCCCCTTTAGGAAACGAACGGGAGTCATAATCATTCTAAGGACATCTTGGGACTATCATGATGAGAAAACAGAGAGGATTGACAATTTTCATTTTTTGGCAAAAACGATGAGCTAACCCCTTGCCATTTTTACCAAAAGGGACGATTTTCGAATATATCAAAAATTTGCCTTTACTTCCCTTTTGGAAACGAACAGGAGTCATAATCATTCTAAGGACATCTTGCATGGGACTTTAATGATGAGAAAACGGAGACGATTGACGATTTTTTTTGGCAATAATCCCTTGCCATTTTTGCCAAAAACATGTGAATTTTCCCCAAGTTTGGTTAATCTGGGAACTTACGGGGATTAATATAATTCTGAGAGCAAGTTGGGACTGATGATGATGACCTACCCCATTTTTGCCACAAAGTGGCGATTTTTTGAATATTTCCTATTTTCGCCTGTCAACCGTGACTTAGGCCTAAAATAAAAACTTGTTGCATTGCCCTTTGCAACCGACTCACAAATCTGAAAATCTACGGTCGGCATTTTAAAAAAGGTTTTTTTTTAAACCGTTTTTTAGATTTTTTTTTTATTAATTAATACAAAAATATGTATTTTGTTTGTGTAAATGGGATATAAATGCATAAAATAAAATTATTACAAAATTCTCACTCGTGCAAACCATGGATGATTATGAGGTGAAAAAGATATCGACATCGAATGATAACGTTAAAACACATGTATTAAAGCATTAAATACTGAGAATATCAGCCAAAAGAGAGCGGGACAAAAAAACATTCAAATCTGAAAAATATCGGCCCAAAGAGGGCAACAAAAAAAAAGTTTTAAAAAAAAATCTTTTCCGACCGACCGACCCATGTTTTGGCACCTAAAGGGCAATGCAACAAGTTTTTATTTTAGGCCTTATAACTAGACATGTATATATCAGCATTCAGGATGTATATTGCATACATTGTGTGTTGTTACATCAGGCAAGCGACAGTTATTATTTTGAGATACAATACATAGCTTGTGAATGCAGTGGTTCATCGTAAGGTAAACATATTCGATTTTGAATATGGCCTTTTGAGATGTAAAAATTTAATGTGGGTTGGTAACATGTCGATTCATATTATATTGCTATCATGTACTCCGGTATTGGGTGCTATCTAGAACAACAAAAAAGTGATGTGTTTGATTGAAAATATGTGTTGAACAATCTTCTAAAGTGAGTTTGTCATAAATCGTGATGATGCGATATCACTATCTAAATCACACTATTTAGAGAGAAGTGTAATACACAATGCTTAAAGGAAGCTTCTAATTAGAGACATCATGCCTTATCTCTTATCATAGTCTTCATTTTATAATTGTTAAACCTATTCACAGTGTTGCTCATTTCTCGGAATTTAGGTGCACAAAGTAATTTTTTAATTCAGCAATGTATTGTATTCATTGGTTTTTCTATTGAAGATTATTTATGCGTATATATTTTATGCAAACTAGTATTGCTCTTAATACTCCTACACATTTGACTAAATATAATTTGTTTACCCCGAGGAGTCTGGGCTCATATGAAGGTGTATTGTGTATGGAAAGGTTGAAACATATTTGTTTATAGAGATATAATGAAGTGGTGATGTTGACATACAATGGTTTTGGCTCACAGTGAATATTCAATTACAATGTATACAGGGTGTCCCTGAAAAATTACAATTATGACCAAATGAAACTTGCCACTGCGAGCAATAGATTAATATCATTTTTTGACACAGCTGTGACCACAGAACTGTTTACTCTGCAACTAAACAACAAACCTTTAATGAGGTCACCATCTGATAAATAAGTAGAAGCCTATGATATCACTTGATAAGAGCAAACATTTGTTTAGGCCAAAATGATTTTCATGCACTCTTTAGTGTATTTTTTCTCACATGTTTTCAAGCCATAGTTTATCAATGAAAATATCACAATTTGTGCAACATTTAACGCTTAATTTACCATATATCAAGACCATGGAAATATTTCAAAATGTTGGAAATAAAAAAATTAAAGATCCCAACTAGCCAAGAGGTAATAGACTAGCAATTCAGTCCAATTTGTCACAATTATGACCATGTGAAACTTGCCACTACGAGCAACAGATTAATATCACTTGTTGACACATCATGCATGTGACCACAGAATTGTTTACTCTGCCACACTAATATAAACAATGAAACTTCAATGAGGTCACCACCTGAACAATAAGGAAGTAGAAGCCCATGATATCACATGATAAGAGCAAACATTTTTTGAGGCCAAAATGCTTTTCGTGCACTAAATGGTGTATTTTTTGTTCCCACATATATTTTTTTTTCAAGCCATTTTATATCATCTAATACCCATGTTCAGGAAATTGAATATTGCACACAGTCTGTGAAATAAAGAGATTCCGATTCTTTTTAGACAATTTCAATTACTGGTAAACAAAATAATCAATCAGTCTGAAAAGTCATAAAGATGAATAAGAATAAAACAAATAATATTTTGTTTACCCAGAGATAACCTATTACATCAATGCTGTTCTTCATGCGGGCCAGGCTAGAATATAAAATGTATTCTTTGAACACTTTGTTGGCAAGATTGTTTTGCAATCACAGATTGATTAACTCGACTTGAACTTATATAGGGCTACAGGTATCATTTCCTCAATAAAGAGGGAAGTTTTCATAGTTTGATAGATAATATCTCTCTTGTCATGGGATCTTTATCACTCTGTTTCAGTAGTATTTTATTCCTGGTTTATTTCCTCTTTAAAATGATGCCAAAAATCAAGTTAAAATCATTCATTTTGATAAGTATCAAATTGTACCAGCAGAAATTGAAATAGACTTGTTGAACAGATACATAGTCCCACCTGCATTTCTAAACAGAAAAACCCTCTCATGTAGACGAGTATTACAGTGGCAATGATGTCATATACTGTAGAGGCCGATTCCGTCATTATGTTAATGTTTCTGCTGGACTGTATTTACAGAAGCAAAATGAAAGTTTCCCATACTTGAGATTTAACCAAAACAAAACATGCTTAAACCTCAAATGAGTTTTGATACCATTGTTCTAGACATCTCAACTCTGTAATAGGAGTAGGACCAATTTAAAATGCAGGAAAACTGTGCATTACCGGGTGCATTATAAAAAATAAAAAAAACTTTAAAAAAAAAGGTCCCTTTAAAACTTTACTCCTAAAGACAGTTGGGTTCTTAATAATAGTCGATAAAACATTTACAAGTTAAAAAACTAATGGCAATGTATTTTACTCACTACCCATTCATCAATTATTGTTGATGACATTGAATCATTTATAAGATAATCTCTATGGTTATTAATGGCTCATCCTGCTTTCAATTGACACAAAACCAAAACCTCAACCTCAATCCTTTTCATTTCATATAGTTCCCACGAATCATGACATATACATGTATATATGGCAGCCAAAAATGATCCTTACAAAATCCCCAAAATGAAACGCAAATTCCCGTGATGGAAAATCATGCTAGCAAAATTATTCCCTGATGTTAAAGCTAATCTTGAGCTCTGGTATAGAAATCACATTTTGAGAGAAAATTGTTATCATTTATTCCGGATTGTTTAGCCTGCAGTAGATTGGTTGTTTGAACCAGTGAAATAAAAACAAACTTTATACTGGGCATCATCTTCGATAAAAAAACAAAACTTCCCTTTGCACTACAGTATCTATAGCATAGTGACATGTGTTACTACCCATATTTCCTTATCTTTCTATGCTCATTACTCAGCCACTATACATTTTCTACCAAAATTGTTTAGCCGCATCATTTATTTGTAATCTTGAACATTCAGTATAACTTTCGTCGGATTCTGTGAGAATTTATTTTTTACATTCACCAGAACTCAAGTTTATCTTTACAAAATGCAATCACACATTCCTAACAAGAAACATAAACAGTCATAAAATAGGTGTATAAACATATTCAGAGATACTTCCTTGTTTATTAGCATAATCTTTGCATTTCATTTTAATGCCCTGCAATAGAGCTCTCATAAACTATATCAAACTAATGTAAACACAGAGAAGGAATACAAGTACTTGAATATTTTGATCAAAATCGTGTAATCTCCTGGCAGTTGCAGCTAAGCCATTCAGTTGAATGTAAGAGTTCAATATATATTTGGAGAACATGATTTTTCTGCCAAATTTCATACATGTAATCATAAAGCTACTGTCAATGAGCAACTGAACTTTATTTATTATTATCTGCTTAGAAAATGAAGGCATGATTTAAGCATATATTTCATCATTACAAAATAATTTGCATAAAAATTAGTCAATTACCCCTTGATACAATTGTACATAAATTTATAAATTTCTCCATGTAGGCTCCTAAATCATTAATGTCACATTCCTTCTCCAAGATTAGGAGAATAATAAACATGAAAGAATCACACATTCTAACTTTTAAGTCAGAATTACAGTATTAAAACAATAAAATATTACTCATTCCCCACCCCTCTCTCGCTCTCTCTCTCTTCACTATTATTCAACCTCTTTCATTTGCTATCCGTCTATTTCTTTCTCTCTTTCCCCTTCTCTCTCTCTCTCTCTCTCTCTCCCATTTTGTAATATGAACATGTCAGAAGTTTGTGAAAAGTTACTATACCAGGAAACAATACTTAAACACATGATGAATTCTTCCAGACCTTATATGAATCAAATAGCAAATTGCAGTATATGATAATCAAAATATTAAGATACCCTAATCACACATAGAATTGCACAGAATTACGTATATATATAATAGCTAATAAATTAAAATATGTACCCCTGTGTGTCATAACTGTTTTGACATAATGGTATCCAGGAAGTACATGAATCTATTAAGGCTCCTCCTAGCCCTTTTTCATATCCTGTATCACTACCGGTACCTCTTAAACACATGATTGGATTACACAATACTAAATCACATGACCAATCACATGACTGAGTTCCAATAAGAGCAGGTAATAAATATACACCTTGAAAGAAAGTCATTACAGTCTCAAAGATCGCTTACTGCGATAGCTAAAGGCAAAATGGATTCTTTTAAATTACACAAAAGCTCGACATGATTCTAAAAGTTCAGGCAAGATGTATTGAAAAGTGGACTGTAGAAGACAGATACGTTCATAAATGTATGTCTCATTCTAGATTAACATCATGACAAGGGGAAAACTAGACACAATAGGGCTGTTCATGCATGGTAAGGCAACAGTGGAACGGGTGAAAAGGTGCCTCTCAATTCACAAGAGGATAGAAAATGAGCTTATCATTTGCACAGCTCTCTTCCCCCAGGCTTGATTTCCGCATTGAGTTAAGTCCGACGCAGTTAACCGGGTTGAACTGTTTGTCCAAACAGATTTCAACTTGCGATAGGTACACGAGTTGAGTCTTCTACAGAGTAACAACAAAGGAGAAATGGTTGAATGAGTAACAGTTTTAAAACTGAAAGGGATAATGCAGTACGGTAGACGAACTGAAATTAAGCCACAGCAAACTTTCTTAAGTCTAAAATGATTTTAGGTAAAAGCTGACAGTAGTTTTTGTCTTACTTTGTTATCAGCGAGAAATAGTACTGAACAACCCATGCTCCGGTGACTGGATGAATTCTTCACTTGTACCCTGGACACAACCAACACATGCCTCATCCTACCCCTACCCCTAACCTGAAACCTAACTGCTTCTCATTTGAGTTATGCACCACGTAGACGCAATTAACTTTGATTTTTCGTCAGCTTTCAGTTACAACTGCTTGTAAACATACAAAAGTGTAGCCAATATCTAAGCAATATGCTTATTTGAATAGAAGATGATATAATAATACTTACATGATCATATACACAGGTGACAGTAGGATCTGTACCAATCGCACCCTTCACAGCATTAAAAATCGTTGGGTAGTCATAGCTATTTGTTTTAGAAGGGACAATCGCACTAGCTTCAAGCATCCTGTAATTGTACAGTTAAGAGAACAAAAATAAAACAACTTTACTCATTTAAACAAAAGTAATACACTAGCTATTCAAAAACTAACTCATCATGTATTTATCATATGTCTATCAACTTTGGGACACTTTATGACACATTTATATTTCTAGCTATTTGTACATAAATGATGATAAAGAAGATGATGATGATGATCACAACAGAATCAAACAAAATAATGTACCGGTAGACATGATTGTGGAATGTGATAATCACCACATACATTGCATGGGACACATCTATTGAACTAAAGGGAGAAGAACAAAATCCTGAATCCTGGCTATTTAAACTTTAAGATCCTTAGCTAGATACAATGGCAGACCAAATTTGCTTACATGTATATTTGCATTGTTTTTATTTCCAGGAAATCACACACATTTCATGATCTATGAATTTCCCTGATTAACAACCAACAATCACAATGCGACTCAGAATGGAACATGATACATTTTACTTCAATTTCTTTCATTGAAAACCATGGAAGTACAGTAATATATACATATCTGTCACAAGTACCTTTGATTCAAGTGGAAACTAGGAGATCAAATTTGTCAAGTTGCATATCTACTTCCTTGATATCACCAATACAGGGCATCAAGGACATTCAACTTTTTTAAGATAAGAAAATATATATATATAATATACAGTAGGCTTGCGGTTACACCACGTGAGAGAGAGGGAGGATTGGGAAGTCCTGAAAAGGATTGTTGGTGTAGTCTTGAAATAAAGACTGTTGGTTATCTTTCTTAGCTTATAGTTCTAAGGAGAGCCGGTTGAAGAGGATAGGTGGCAGGAGTGGTACCTACCCTTTGATGTCAAACTGTTTCCTAAGAGTGAGGGTCTTTTGGAAGTAATTGTGCTCTCCATAGAGAGCTGGTAGCAACGAAGCACATGTGCCATGCTTATCCCATTCATGTGACCTGATAGAGGAAAACAAAAGACATCTCAACTGTGAGAGAGTGGTACAGTGTATACTGCCTAAATTTGTAGTAAAACATGAAAATAATTTGGAAGAATACCAAGAAAGAAACCTGCCCCTGAAAAGTTTCACTTTCTTTAGATCATGAGCTTTCATTTGACATGCAATGTCTATTTTAAAAACTCGATAGGATAGCAAAGTTCAATTCAGTACTCCCACTACTATTTCTACATGTACTTCAACTACCCGGTACCACTTCAACTAACCAAAACTACTTTAGATACAATTAACCGCAACATGCCCCTGACATCATGCTTTTGGTAATAAATTCCCAACACTCTTTTAGTCAATCCTTATCAGTTATTGTGAAACGGATTCTATGGATTTGGGGATTATTATGTTGGATATTTTGATGCCATTTGGTATTATGTCAGTAAGTCAATCACCCTGACATTTGTAATAAAAGAGGATAGACAATAAACCAAACTGAAAAATGAAAGAGAGCTTTCACTACATTGCACTTTCAAAAAATTATGGCAGGGGGGGAGTCCACATTTTCTCGAAATCAAAACTATGATGCTGTGTTTTTTAACTATGATTTTGTATAAGGATTTTTGCATGAAAATATAGAAGTTGGTTTTAATGCAAACTAAATACATTGGAGACTGGGTACATGTATTTTCACAGGTAAATTACTCAAACAGGAACTATGAACTTCAATACATGTGGCTAGAATGGAATTTTGGCACAATAACAACTTTAAAAAAAGGTGAAAATGAATTAAATTCTCCAATGATCCTATTATTCAATTGTTGTGCATCGTTTCTGTAGTACTGTACATGTAGTACTGTACATGTAGTATGTAGTCATTGTTAGTTGAGGTGGTAGAAGTACTAGTACACCATAGGTGTACCATGTTTTATATATAATGTTATCAATGTCTATATAAAACAACTCCTTATCTCTCTTCCCTACTTTCCTCTTTCTCTTCTTTTCATACCTTACATTTATTTGTCATTTTCTTTGTTATTTGTATCTCTTCTTTCTCCACTTCTCTCTACTCCCCCCCCCCCCCCCCTCTCTCTCTCTCTCTCCCATTTTGTCACAACCATTCTCTTTCCTCTTTCAATTTATCTCTTAGTGAAAGATGCTTTTCTTTCTTTCTATTTTTTTTCCTTATTTGTATACAATCTTAACTGAGAAGGGCAACTGAATTTACAAGAAGTGTTTCCTTAATCAAGCTCCTGTATCAATAAAGAAATAGGGAAGTAAGCTAAGTATATCAATATCTGTAAACAGCATACCCTTTATAGATTAACCTTTGAATACTAAAGCAATAATAAAACCTGGCTGGGTTATAAGGAAACTGCAAGATATACAGACAAAAGGAGCAAAACGTTGTACTTAACAAGTCAGAGGAAATTGAAGATACAATCTTGAAAAAGAATAACTTACCACAAGCTATCATATGCCTCATCTGTAATACAGTTTGGCCAACTTGCATTCATCTCAGCTACAAGGTCCTTTCAAATCAAAATAATATGTTTAAAATGTTAAATCAATGAAATGTGCATATCCAACTTTTGATCAGACACCTGCTTGGGGCTGTATTGCATCAGAAATGTACATGCAGGATAACCAGTAGGGTTGAAATGAGGTTTAAGGTTAGATTTAAGAGTAGGAAATAAGGTTGAAATCTTGGTTGAAGAGCAGAAAATTGGATTACATGTAGTTTATTAGAAATTGAACACAGGCAATTGTTGCCAAAACATGGGTTGTATTATCCTTCATTTACTGTACATGTACATGTAGATATTACATGTCATCCAACATTCTCTTGATATTACCAGCATGTATTTCAATTACAAACAGGTGTTAGATCCATATGAAAGGTGTCTTGTATCAAACGAAATAACATTAGTCAGAGATAGTTAAATCACATTTATGTAAAACATAATCTCACATTCAATCCTTTTCTCTTTCGGCATATTCACAACCAAATCTACACTTTGGTCAGTTTGGTGGTTAATAACAATTTCAATACCTGTGTTTCATTTATTAACTATCATGTCAATTCATGGTATGAAGCTACAATGTGTTGCTTCATTAGTTATATAAATTCATGAAAGGGGGGGGGGGGGTCAATATCTTGTTTCACTTATCAATCATGTAAATTCATTCATATTATCTTCTAAATTCAAGGAAAGGCGATACAATATTTGACTTTCAGTAATTAATCATGCAAATCGTTAAAGGAATCTTTAATGTCTTGTTTCAATTATTAATTCACATATTAAAGATTCAAGATCATAACAATTGAATAGATGATGAGGTTTTGAGTAGTTAATATAGTTTATAATGACAGTCTGGAACAATTTGAATACTTTCTTATAGTGCAATAGATATTAATATGGAACAACTAAAGTTGATTTCTATGGAATACTTACTGATATTTTAGTTACATCAAACTTCCATGTACTGTTGCAATTTTCAGGACCTAGTTTACCAGGATTAGATGGCCTAGTTGCATGAAAGGAAAAATACATATATATTTTTTTATAATGATTTCTTATATTCTTAGAGAGAACCAATCAAACAAACAAAAATGAAGACCAATCAAAGCAACACAGATAAACTTGCTCTGTGTGGTTAAGGTTCCATGTTGATCAAAAACGTTATTCAAAATATCAGCTCCAAATGAAAGTCTGTAAACAGATATTGCAGGGTTCAATACACTCTAAATTTAAAGTATAATCCAACTCTGTGTAGAAATTAACGAAAATTCATGCAGGGTTAATAATAAATCATTTTATCCCCTTAACCTCATTAACATTTTACCATTTCTCATAAAGTATTTACGGTGATATTATTATTTTTGTGAATGTTCCTCCATAATGTCACAGGCAATTTTTACATGTAGATATTAAAGATGAATTAAATACTAGAATTTATAAATCAAATATCATAAATCCTTGCATGAATATACTGGATCAACTGATACAGATACATTTAACAGTCATTCATCTATCATCAGACTACACAAAGATAGCACAATTCAAGGTTACTTATCTTATTATTTAAAAATTAATTGAAATTTCTCCCAGGAAGCATTACATTTATTATCAAAAAATACTTATCTCATGTTTTCTAAATTTCAATTTCACATACATGTATATACTTGATAGTTTTTCCTGCATTTCAGAATTCACAAATATTGTCCTAAATTCTGAATCTTGACAGAATAAATAATGTTAGCTTCCAGCCAGAACAAAATGTTCAACATATAAGACCATTCCAAGACAAAATGGGCCTTGACCTGAGAAACAATGCTGTGTATATATTACAGGTCAATGAACATCCTCATCATCGACAGTGTCAATGCTGCTGTAGCCATTTGCCTTTAAAATTTAAATATGATAATTTTTTTTGTGTGCACTTGCAAAGATGCCCATTAACATCAAAACTTACCATAAGCCATGAATCGTCCAATCATCGATCCCTGCAGGAACTTTACATTCTCCTGCTTCTTTATAATCACGGCCGTCCTTGAAGATAATAAACAACAAAAGCAAACAAAAATTAATATACTATGCGTAGCACAAATCTACCAGGATAAAAAGTATTTTTCTTACATAACAAAGTCCATTATTTGAAACCCACCCTATTTTCATAAGAACCAATGCATTCTGTATTAAGAAACTGTTCCAAATATAATATGGCTCTCTACGCATACCCTGGCTTGCATAAATTACATGTACCTATAACTGCATGATTTAAAGGCTTGTTTGCAAAAGATGCAGTAAACAAGTTTTGTTTTCTATGAAAGTGAGTGTAAAGAACGGTGAGAACAAAATTGCAGCTGTTTGCAACAAAGATCCTACTTGAATCTGAACTCTCTTATCTGTGTGTTGTAAGATACAGAAATGTGAAGCGCACTACATCTCATTTTATTTTTAAGATAAAACCTCAGTAGAAATCCAGTTTATGGCAGAATACGTACATCTATGTATTTAAGAGAACAAGGCATAGATTCTACAAATCCCATTTGTATACAAACTGCTTCTTGTTATTATCTATCAAGATTTGTTGACATGAACGATAAAGTGTGACAAAACTTAACTTGTTTCTCAATATGAAAGATATAAATATTAGAGGCTTGTTTGTAAATAATGATGACACCTTGTGGCCAATGTTTACATTTACATGACACATGTTATCTTGCTGATAACATGCCAGTGTATTATGTTTTAACTTCTTATCAGTGTGAACTGGTGGTAATGATTTTATGTACAAATAGCTGTTGGTTTGAAAATGTATCATAAAAACCAAGTCTCATAACTCTGGTAAACATACATATAAGTGATGACCCACTCATTCACTGAAAATATACATTACAAAACATACTGTATGGTGGTGTGACCAAAGTTCACGCGTGACCTAAGTTCGCTATCTCCAAAAACCAGTAAGATTTTGAAAATCTGATTTCACCAATGGAAAGAGGAACATAAAATTACCCAGATATGAAATTTTCTTTGGAATTGGGTACGAAATTGTGAAAATATTGACAAAAGATCGGCAAATTTTGCAATCTTTTGCGTCCGTTCCGAAAAATTATCAACTTACCGATGAGGGTCTGAAAATCTTCAATTTGAGAGCAGATTTCCTCAATATTGTAAGTAAAAAGTGGTACCAACCGATTGTATGATATCTTGCCTTGTAAATTACGATATTACCTTATTTTTGATGGATCACATTATTTGATAAATCAACTGTAAACCCCCGTGCGTGAACTTAGGTCTCTTTGTTTTTATGACTTTTTTAGATGCAGCGCGCACGCACGATCGGACATCAAATTTTTAGACCACGATATTCCCAAAATCCTTCGACGATAAATTTTCTAGTTGAACCAATCTGTAGTAAAAAAAACTTTGCCCTTCATTTGGTAATAATTGAAATAAATTAATTTGTGTAGAATATAAGAAATCATAGATCGAATATCACATTTTGTAATACGTTCTAAAATGTCCGCGAACTTTGGTCACCCCTTCATTAACCCAAGAAAAATTCACCCCAATTATCTGAGTCTACTTCCTTTAATTTGAAACTAATCTGTGTAAAATAGAAGGGGTTAACCATCCAATTTCTATGAGAACGACTAAATTGTTAGTTTCTAATCTTTAAAAACTACTCTTGTTCAGAGAAGGGAAATAAAAGAAAGAGTGTTACCGTACATTATAATCTAAGCAAAAGCTCTGCGGCCACTGTATTGTCAGGATCAACTCAGTCCAGGTGTCATTTGAGCTGAAACAATAGAGAGAGAAAATAAAAAAACATAAGTGAACACTGAATCATCTGAATGCATCAATGGTAGTCAATGTTACCATTCACTCATAGAAATCTGTATGTAATTTTTTCAATTTTTTTAAGGTTAATCACTAAATCTTTTACATTCTTTCTATTACAGTATGTAGGAGCTAGGCTTGCGCTTGTGTTTCTCAAATTGCTTTTTTTGTTTAGGTGATGGGAACACTTTACCTTAATTGTAAGCCAGGCCAAGGAAAATAAATTATGTTATATCAAATCATGTAAAGAATCTATATTACAAAAATGGTCTAGACGTACTGTTAAGTTTAGTTTTAATGTTAAACTTAGTAGTCTTAAACTTAAAGAAATCCTCCAACAAAGAGTCGAAGACTAGATCTAACTTAGAGTCCAAGGCCAAACAGACAGATTTTTCTTTCAAATTACTCAAATGAGGTTTAGAGTAGACTTTTCTCTTAAGTTATAGGCCTATTATAGACGTACAACTGTAACCTGACAAAGACCAAAAGATACATTACCAATATATACCTTTGCTTGTTTAGACTTAGACGGTCGAATATGAATTTTCCTTTGTCGACTTCAGCAGCACCAGGCGCAGGCCTTGTATTTGTAAACACGGCATTTTCCTGAACGTCCCGAGCGCTCGGCTGCTTGGCCACGGGAGACTTGGGCGACGATAGTCGAGAGACAAGCTCTACCACGCTCCACGCAGAAATTTGCCGGGAGTTCAATAGGCAGAGTGTTATAATTATCGCTGTTACCAGAACGCGGATACCCATCTTGGTGATTTGAAAATCGTTCATCAAATAATGTTTGTGTCACGATACAAAGCGAACAAAATAGACAATACCGTTGTACTTTGCCCCTTTGGAATTGGCCTTGCTCGGTTCCGCATGTACAGTACGTAGTTGGAGAACATATTATTCAAAGATAATTAAATCTATCACACTTTCGTAGTACAACACTTTTGTAGTACAACGTACGTTGGACATGGGGCCCGTATGGATTGAGAGCGTACACATAAGAAATTCCCTCAGTTAATTCTTTGTTGTTTTTAAGTCAATCTGAGTTTTGCACGAAATGAATTAGGTTGGAGAGTTCAGACTCATTTCTAAAGCTTAATTTTCAAGAAATTCTATCACGAATTCCTGAGACTCTTCATGATTTTGAGTTTGACTAAATATCAGCTGCTGAAACAGGGACATGACACGTTTGTGTGTTTGAGTTCGTTGATGTACGTGCTTGCTAAGCTAAGTAATTCATCTGTGTACTAAAAGCTCTCTGACACAAGTCAAATTGTTGGGACCGGATGAATATCGTTTTCGTATAAAGGCACCGTCCCCTGGTGTGGAGCGGCCTACGTTGTGAACAAAGTACGTATAGGACCAGTGGCGGATCAAGGGGGAGGGGGGGGGGGGCGGGAAAAAAAAACGTGTAAAAACACGTTAATCTTATCTTGGCGCTCAAGGGGGGGGGGGTCTGGGGGTGCGATTTTTCAAATCAAAACAAAAAAAATAGTGCTCACTACCCCCCCCCCCCCCCGATTTTCAAATTTCAGCACACTAAATTTCAAATTTGCCCCCCCCCCCCTTAGAAATCCTGGATCCGCGCCTGGATAGGACCTATATACATGTACCTTTGTTTCAGGTATTAAGCTGACGGAGAAGAACAGATACTTTTCTTTCAAGTTTATTGAACATAAAAACTTAACAATTGAATATTTACAATATAACATGGTAGGCTAATACGGTGAAAGGCTAATACGAAATATACTTTACATGGCAAGTTTACATACTTCTCTTTCCTAACTCTACATAATGTAACGAGGTTATAAGGTAAAATGTTAAAATAAGATATGCTTAACATCCCGTTAACATCAAGGTTATATTTGCCTTCTTGGCAAGCATGCATAATTTACTTTTTCAAAACTCAACTATAGGGTAATTACAATGTAACAGTGCATTAAAGGAATGAAATTATTCAAACAAAATGTTCCCGGTAGCTGGTGTATCATTCCAGATTTTATGAAATGATCATACAATGTATATTCTATGTTCCGGGCAAATATAACTTTATTTCTTCCCCAGAGATCGAACAGAATGTTTCCCCCCGAGTCCATATCTTCCTGAATTTATATAGACTATCTCTTATTAGATCGACTACGAGACGTATTCAGATTTCTTCTTTAACTTTCAATAACAACGTGTCTATCAGCGGCCATCTTGGACGCCATCTATAAGAATAACAGCTTTCTGAACCTTCGATTTATACTTTTAGCATGTTATTCCTGAGGTCAAATACTACTTTTAAAAAAATGAAAAACCTTATTTTGGGGGGTCAAACCATATCTTGACCCGACTATTCTATCTTTCCTTACGTAGGCTATTCTTTGTTGTTATTCTTCTTTCATTTCCTCTTCCTATCTACAACATAACACCAGGAATTAAAGAATTATCTGGTGGCCGCACGATAATTCTATATTTTTCCTTATCATGATTATGTTTTACTTTCCACCTTCCTTATGTTACTCTTTGTTTTTATCCTTTCTTCTTTTTATCTTTCTCTTTTTCCGTATGTTACGCTTTCAGGCGCGCCGGAAGCAGTTTGGGATGGGGGGGGCCGGGGGGGGACATTCCAGGGGCAGTGGCGTTATAGCAACAAAAACAATTGGGGGAGGGGGATCGGGGGAGAGCAGAAGAAAGATCTGCACCACCACCACTCTTACGTGTTACATGCAGGGCCCAGCCGCGGAACGGTTTTCAAAATGGAGTATTAGGGTGCGAGAACAGGTTTTCCTGACACCCCCTAAACGTGCCCCCCCCCCCCCCCCGTGGCTACGTGCCTGTAGAAATCTTGATAAGATGTTAAAAGGTATCTAGGCAACTAGGCATGAGCCCCTGGGTAAGAAGCAATTTATTTATTTTTTTCACATTTTTTAGGAAATATTTTGCGCCGAATCATTCAGGCGCTATATAACTATTATAAGCGTGGGGCTGCATGGTGGGGGGGGGGGGGGGGGGGATGGTAAGAAACAATTATGTTGTTTTGATCCAATTTTTTAGGAAATATGTTTAAAAAAATTTCAATAAAATTATGCTTTAAAAAATTATGTCAGGCATAATGCCAGATGCTCAAAGGATCAAAATTATGCCAGAAATGCCCCGAAGCACTGAAATCGTGTAGAGTTCAGTGCCTAGAAGTTGTATATCGCCATCTATAGTCTGAAACGTTATAGCAAAGTCTTAGGCAAATTCTTCAAGATGGAATATCGTTCTGCCTTCACAATTTATAATTTTCAAGTTATTTTTCTTTCTTCCTCTTTTTTTCTTGTTAAGTTCTGATTTTTGTTACAATATCTGGCGTGGGGCTATCTTTAAGGGGGGCTCTAAGTAGAACTATATGTGGATGATGCTGGCGAGTAATCAAGTGACATGAGGCAAAGCAGGGGTTGATGGTTCACATATTGATGACAGTTTTTCTCACAGCTTAGTGGTAATGTATCAGTGACGTAGGATAGATGGAAATAATGTATATTAATAGTATTAAGGTGAACAAAATAACAGTTGCGTAAGTCATACACGGGCGCTGTTGGGGGGCGGGCGGGGCGGAGGATCGGGAGGCAAAACATCCGGGCCAACATGACAGGGCCATGACAAGAAAATAACTTTTCCATGCCTTCATAAGCAAAATGGCTGGTAAGTCGCAGAGTTATTTTCGTTTATCATTATTTAATTTCATTTAGTCATTCATTCAATATTTACCGAATACTGTTTTGTCATCAGTATATAGCTAGCAAAATTATTGACCACTCTCCGTTTTAAACAAAGGTTGGACATTTGCATTGCGATACACGCAAAACTAATTGATTTGTATTATCAGAGTAAAGTTCACTTTTGATCTGGTAGGTCTTTAATGTGAGATGTGCCTTCAGATTCCCTCCTTTTTATTTGTATAATTGGCTTCATAACTAATATGATATAACTATATTGTTATAATAACCGTTGTGCGTGGTCTCATTGCGACCGTGTTGAAGATTTTCGAGATAGTCATAATCACTTTGATAAAAAATTATAATAATTACCTTCGTTGCATAATATTTTTTGACTTGGATGAAAAATTAAGTTACCATGTTTTCCTTGTTGGAAAACCCTCGCCCCTACAAATAGGCCAATGCCAGTGCATCTCACTAAGCGAGAGAAATGTGAACTGGATCGAGGCCCACTGGACCGTGATGGAAACGGACAAAGTGATTTTGATATCTGTTTTTAGAAAGGGCTTTTAGTATTGGCCTTCACCAAGATTGCAAGGTGAGATAAAACATTAACTACAATTTTCATCAAAACAATGCAAATCTTCATCACAGTTACCTTTTAAATCAACACAATCTAGTTATTTTCCCGTATCGACGCTGTAGAAATATATTTCGTTAACTCGTGTATGAAAATAATTCCCCAGTCACACAAACGAGTCCGACACCATGACGACAACATACTGAGAGAAAAAAAGAAAATTTACTCGAAAGGCAAGGAATGTGAATTAGCGAGGGATTAGTTTGACGGTATGTCTCAGGAACAAAATCATTTCCAAAGTAATAAGTTAAATCACAGCAAAAATATGCATCCAGCAATAAGGCCGTAGAAAAAAAGATGTTGTGTTGCCCTTTAGGTGCCAGCACATAGGTCGGTCGGGGGGGGGGGGGTTGCTTTTTCCTCTCTTTGGGCTGAAATTTTTCATTTTTAATGCTTTAATACATATTTTTGGATTCATTAATAATTTTTTTCTTCTAAAAAACGGTTAAAAAAATAGAATAATAAAAAGCAGACCGTAGATTTTCAGAATTTTAGGTCGGTCGCAAAGGGCAATACAACAATTTTTTTTTAAAGCCTTAATGGTCTGAAGCTGAAGGCACTGGTTACATAAGCACAACGTAATTCTGTGTCAGAAGCTTGATCAGGGGTGCTTGAAAATGTGCCAGGCATGCCTTTAAACTTTAGGCGTCGCTTACTGACATAACGAACTATATCAGCGACTTAAAATGTCTTTGACGCGCTCTCAAGTAAGCCACGTCATAGAAAAATAATTATTCTCAAAATCTAAATGATTTTTGAAGAATACGAATATTAACCTGTTTTAGAATTCATTACATTGATAACTTTGTCTTCATTTATCATGATGCATCTTAGTTTGTGTTTATCATTTCTATAGAGGTTGAATCAAGATTTCTCTTTTTTTTTGGGGGGGGGGGTGGGGGGTCTACTTATTTTAAAGGACAATTTTGGGATGAGAAATTCTTCCATGTTCAATGAGAAATTCACCCTGTTTTTGTGTTCAAAGTTCTTTCTGTCAAAACGTACGCAATTTTTTTAACAAGAGCATAAACATGTATTATTCTGTAAAACACTTTACCTAAACTGTGAAGATTTGAACGCAGACGAAATTAAGTCATAGATTAATAATTATGTTTACTTTTAAAGTCGTCTAAATATCCGTATAAGTACTTTGAAAAATTTATTTTATTTATTTATTTTAAATGTACACGAAATTAAGTCATAGATTAATAATTATGTTTACCTTTGAAGTCGTCTTATATATAAGTATACTTCAAAGAATTTAGTTTATTTATTTATTTTAAATGTACTTTGTATCTAATTAGGTCATCATTTAAATTTTACTAAGGATGTCTTTATAAACATGTTTCGAGTTTAATGAATTTTAATGAATAAGTGATTCCTTTGGAAGGCTACAAATATGCATGGTATATAATTTAAGGGCCAGAGTGAATTGTAAAACATTTGGATACAAATTACCATGCAACCTTATCATTCAATAAGTACAAACTTAACAAGGGGAATTCAGAGTGGAACAAATAAATAACTTGTGGTTTTCTGTTTTTATTCAGTGTTTGAGCTCCTCAGTTGTTTGAAACTTTTTTTTGTATTATTATCTTACTACCTTGAATGTTGTTGGAACATCTGACAGCCATTATAATTTATATAGAAACAAATATAATTTTATATAACTTATAATCTCTCTCTCTCTCTCTCTCTCTATTCAGTTCCTAAACTTTCTGATAAATTACATAACTCGGTTGCATATTTTCAATAATTTCACCTATCTACTGCACACTCACTTTTTCAAAGAGGAATAAAAGAAGAAGAAAAGAAAGATAAAAAACAGAAAAAGAAAAAGGAGATGCTAGTGATTTAGACTTTCTTGCCAAACAGGTGCCAATTTGAATAACACCTCTATACAGGTGTCGGATGGTGAGCTGGTATAGGTGCGTTTCAGTTCTATATTAAGTTTTTATTTTTCATATTTATCTCATCGCCATGACAATCTGACTGCCAAATTGAATGACGTTACAAAATCACGTAAGGTGCCAGCTACATCTTCGTTAATTAGGCCATCTTCACACAGTCAAATGTTACACCAGCACTCAATCAAGGTGTTTATCATTTAATGGTGAGAGATGGGAAGGGAGAGAGAGAGAGAGAGTGAGTGTGTGTGTGTGGGTGTGTGTGTGTGTGTGAGAGAGTGAGAGAGAGAGAGAGTGAGAGAGTGAGAGAGAGAGAGAGGGAGAGAGAGAGGAGGAGCTATGCCTATCTCTCACATTCTGCTTTCTTCCTTTTTTGAACTTTTCATTATTTCATAAAATTAATAGCTATCCAACATGAAACACCTTGACCTAAATAAGGTCTAAAATAAAAACTTGTTGCACTGCCCTTTGCGACCGACCCAAAAATCTGAAAATCTACGGTCGGCATTTGAAAAAAGTTTTTTTTTAAACCGTTTTTTGAGATTTTGTTTTTATTAATGAATAAAAAGATATGTATTTTGTTTGTTTAAATGGGAAATAAATGCATACAATCAAATTATTCCAAAATTCCCACTCGTGCAAACCATGGATTATTATGAGGTGAAAAAGATATCAATGGAATGATGACGCTGAAACACATGTATTAAAGCATTAAAAACTGAGAAATATCAGCCAAAAGAGGGCGGAAAAAACGGGAAAAAAACAGGAAAAAAAAACTAAAACATTCAAATCTGAAAAATATCGGCCAAAAAAGGCGACCAAAAAAAAGTCTTTAAAAAACAAACTTTTCCGACCGACCGACCCATGTTTTGGCACCCAAAGGGCAATACAACAAGTTTTTATTTTAGGCCTAATCATGATTCATATCAATTAAGTCCTTCACTGAATTAAAAACATTTTCTGACACAACATCAAACAATTGCCCTTAATAAAACAAAAAACCCTAACCTTTCAAAATAACTCATAATCAAGAAGAAATACCAGCTAAAGATATCAATCTGGTTTCAAAGTGTCATTGAGTAGTTTTTTCTATGGTTTCAATTCCCTGAAATACAAAATCTCCTAATGTCAATGCATTTAAAAAAAAAGTATATTTGGAAAGAATGCAGACGGCGAAGAGGGACATATCAGCACAACCATCTCAATACTATTTACAATTACATCCGAACGTTGGACACAAAAATCTACTCAAAACACTTAAAATCTCAGTGTCATTGCAAGAGTGAATTAAAAAAAAAAGATGAATTCTTGGCCACTTGAGGTAATGTAGAGTTTTGTTCAGTATGTTGTCAGTGTGGTGTGAGTTTTATTGGTGTGTCACTTGGGCTTCAGATACTGCTTGCAAGGACATTGAGTCTCACTCTCATTCATTTCTTAACAATAGGTTTAATTCTGTTCTGGTATGAGTTTTTATATGATGTATTTTGTACTTCTGGGCTGTAGCCACAAAATATGTATCAGGAAACAAATACTGTCATGACGGCAAACTGCATCAGAGAGAATCGGTGACCTTCTCACAGTGTTTTCAGAATTGTACAAATTAATCTGTTTCTAATTTCAAGATGAAACGAATGACAAAAATACCATGTCCTTTATCCCACATGACCACTGAAGTATTATTATAGGTGCCTTGTATTTGCAGCTTGAAATATCCATACCTTTTTTTTCTTCTATGCACATTATAGTTTAAGTGTTTTTATCTTGAAGCTTGACTTGAGATTTGTAAGATACTTAATATAAGATGGTATCGAAATGGCATGACGCAATACAGACATAAATTGTGTATGAAAATGATTTATTGTCCTCCCAAAATGAAGGATTATACAATCAATCAATCAAACAAAACAGACAAAACCTTTGGCTAACATCGATATATATATTCTAGATTACATTAAACACTATATTCAGCTACACAATCATAAAGAAGGACATACTAATGTCGCTCATCATTGCCTGCCCGCGAGAAGGCCCTACCATGTATTTTTAATGGCAGTAACGACCTTCTTGTGGGCAGCAGACATTATGTCCTCGAAAAAGATAACAGCACTTTATTAACAAAACTTCTCTCGACACTCATATTAATCCCTTGAATCTAACTCTCAGTATCATATGGCTTCGATAAACACGAGGACATAAAGTCTTTTTCTCTTTTATATCTGAACTCGAGAGTAACCTCTTTGGAAGAATACTTATGATTTAAATCATCCATTGAGGGCGAGAAGGACGTTCCATCTACGTAGATGTACATGAGTCAACGCCCTTTTGGCTCTCTAGAGATGATATGGCCCTACTTTGAATGCTCAAGAGAGCTTATAGCTTGTTGCTTAGCACTTCACAATCAATCACTATGTTCAGTTTGCTCAGCTGCATGATGGCCATCGACATAAGGGTTGAGGGTGGCTGCTAAAAATGTCATGCTGTAAAGATTGTCTGATGTTTAGAAGGGGCGATTGTCACATAACGTGCCAAGAATTTATTTCTTGTTTTATGAGCCTCTTTCTACATTTTCTTCTCACTGCACTGTCTGTACCTCTAAATGTCTGCAAGAGAATAGAGTAAAGAAACAGGAATCTTGTCAGGGGAAACTTCAATTGCTTAATCCAATAAAAACCTCAGAAATGCTATTGTTCATGTTGTTAAGAAATACTTGAAATAAGTTGTATCAAATCAAAGCAATCAAATAGTCAGGATAAAAAACTAATTGGTTTTTGTTATGTACTAATGAAAATGAATTGACTACTCAATTCACAAAAAAGGGTTAAATGACTTGTGTTTATATACAGGCAATATAAAGTTTTGGTAAGGGATTTCAAAATTCCCATATGTCCCACAATTCTCTAATAATCTTAACCATGAACAGAAATTTCTAAGAACAAAAAAATTATGATCGAGATTCAGGAAACATAAGATAAACAATGAATAACATAAGATATATCAAACCTAATAGACCCTGCACTATCAAAACCCAATGAAATATTATATAAAGTATGTTTCTTAAAATAGGAAATTCAACACTTTCCATCAATAAGTTTATAAATAAGTATATGTGCTTATAAAAAAATTAAAAAACAAAATAAAAGGTCAAACGATCTTCTCTCTTCCAGTACAAGCTATGTATTCATATTGTAATGCATTAACGTATACATATATTAATGTGAAAAAATGGGATATGTTTTATATGTAACAGTTGTTAAACCTATTGCAAGAGGTCACATTAAAATTAGATTTACTAATTTTACTGGAAGAAAGGGGTTATCTCCAAACGTATTTGATTTTGTAGCTGGCACAGCAAAGAATTTTGAGGCATCTTCAAAACTGGTAAAATGGTAAATTCTTTCTTTCCATGAACTCAACCTCCTCAAAGGGGGGGGGGGCAGTAACTGCCTCTTCTGCCCCCCCCCCCCCTCCACCTGCAATTGATGACCCTGCTCACAGCATACAGTCACAAATCAGACCTTCCAGTAACTTTCTCCTTCATAAAAGATCAATAGCAGACAAGGTAATTTAGAAACAGGTGCTCCCTTCACAACCAATTTCATCCCAGTCTTGCCTTTCCTTTCAACTGTACGCTGGGCAGCTTCCAATGCCATTTCAACATAGCATGGGAGGAAAATATAAAGAGGTTTAATGAAACACTATTCAAATATTAAAAGACACTCAAAAAAAAAGCTTCAGGCAAAGAGACTGTAAAATTGTGATACTTTTGTGGAACAACATTTTCATCCGTCTTGAGTTTTGATCAGATCAAAATAAATAACAAGGTATGATATCAATGCCAGCATACCGGTAGTGATAATTGTTTTATTAGCACAACAACAAAAAAACACACATATAACAGAAATCATCTTCTTCACTCAATTGCTCCGTTACCTCATCAGAGGCCTGTAAGAGGTTCTGGGTGGTCAGGTCTTCACGTGCCACTCTATTATAGACCAATTCGTAACGACGAGGGAACTTTCTAAGAATTCTCACTCTACCACCTGCACAAGCCAATGATCATCAAGAAGCCGTCACACCAAAAATTTGGTAGACAATGATGTCTATGATTTATTCTACTTTTTTCCACTGCTCTCTGTAGTATTGTCTGCTGAGAGCCATAAGGGCATTAACTCATCATCATCATGTCGAGGGTTCAGTGACATAAAGACGTAACTCCATATTTTGCCAAAATGAGTATTTGATATCAAAATGTTCACAAAAATGTGGGCTTTCCAGGAAACACAAAATTAAACTCCACCCAACTCCCCATTGAAGTCAATGGCTAGTGAAACATAGACTTAACTCCTTAAGGCCCAAGTGGACCTCTATCTTTAAACTTTTTCTCAAAATGGCCAAAATGGAGTTACATCTTTGTGTCACTGACCCCTTGATGTACTTCAATACAAAGTTAACACCCTTCTGGTTCTTAACAGGTGCTCTCATTTCACTCAGAGCAAGAATTTTGATGTGACAATCAGGAATCGATCATAGTCAATGCCATTGTTGAGCTGTGGAAAGGTCTAGGACAAAACCCCTCATGGCTAGTTTCTCCCTTTGTACCTCAGTCTTGACGATCGATAAAAGCTTGCTTTCAACAGCCGAGTGCAAAACCCAATTAGCATACATTATTAATACGTCTATTTATTATGAAATCAATCAAAACATTCTGCACTTTTAGAAAAGCACAACATACACTTTCAAGGTTGGTTGAGGTACATGTCTGTTGAGAGCAGAGAAACACTGACAAGTATTTTTTTTGTTTTATTAAAGATAACATTTCTGAAGATTTTTTTCTTCTCTATTTAATAGTCATGATACTTTCTTGATATGTTTTTTTATATTAAAATGACACTTCGTATAATTTTGAGCCAGAGGAACATCAAATCAAGTGATAAATTTTGTGTTTTTAATGAAACTGTAGATGCAAGAGGCAAATGAGTGATGGATTGACAGTGTATTATCTTCTGTTCATGTTGCCTCACCCTCCTCTCTCTCTCTCTCTCATGCCCTCTGTAGCTATTCTTCTGCAGACTGCTCCCCTCTCTGTTCCAATACTTGGTATGTCAGGGATAAAGAAAGTGCTAGCTCCAGACTAGAGCATAAAACTTGGTAATTTTGTTAATTTTGGGTGTATAGCTGGTGCCATTATTGGTTTTGACATAGGAGTCTGAACACTGGATTGCAACCAAATGATGGCAGACTGTTAAGGGATTCTTTTTTTTTTTTAAAGTAATAATTCTTGACACCATTAGCTTAAAAGATGCACCACAAGAAGAAAAGAAAGAAGACAAAAAAAAAACAAAAAAAGCCAAATCTATTGCTGCAGTTTATCTGGAAACTTTACAATAGCCTCCTCATAGAGCATTAATGGGAACATTATTTTCAGCACACGAAAAAACCTTAACGAGCATTTGGTTTCAACGGGCAAGTACTGCACTCAATAAAGGAACAATATAACACACATTAATCTTAAAACCAAAATCATTCTAAACTACGTGTATAGTGACTCTTCTGTCAAGCAAAATGCACATAATATAATACTATGAAATGTTCAGCCAGTAAACATACTCATTTATGATTTCACTTGATTAAAGTACATCTATGTCTATACAAAAGCAGATTAAGATCAAGTGAAGTCCTACAATATTTTTGTATGGCTGCAGGACCCTCCTCTCTTTCTTAACTTTCATCTTGATTAGCATCTTGATCAGCATCAGTGTTATTGTGATGTGCACCATCTCCTTGTGGCACTGCTCTTCTCTGAGGTACTTCAGCATAGAGATCGTTACCAACCATACTGTGGGTTGGAACCTCACCTTCCGTCACTTCCTCATCTCTCCTTGCAGGACTGTTCTCCACTGGACCACCCTCTGCTGGCCCTGCATCCCCAACATCAATAGGGTCTTCATGTTCCCCATAGGGCGGAGGAGGGGGAGATGGAGGAGATGGAGGAGTTTGCTGATGGCTTGCACGGCCCCGTCGTCTAGAGCGTCCTGACCTTGCAGATGAGTTCTGATTAGGCGGAGGGTGTGGTATCGGAGGGAGTGGTCTTCCCTGCACCGATGAGCGGTTCTCCCCTTCGCCACCACTCGGACTCAATTCATTACCATCCCCACTTGAGGGGGGCGGTCGGAACGGAGGAACGTGGGCAGTCTGGATCTGGGCTACCGCCTCGTCGTATGATGGCAACACAACACCGATATCATCCGTCACTGCCAGGAGAGCCAGGGCATCAGGGTCACGATGAAGCCGTGCAAGCTGAGCACGTAATACCGGTGGGTAGGTCTGAGCCATGCGATGACGACGGGACCGGCATTGACGACTCGTGAGGATTACAGTGACCACTAGGATACCTAGGATGGAGCCAGTGGTTGCCATGACGATGGTTAAGGTTTCGGTGTTGAACATCCTGCTGTCTTCAGGTGTAGGAGGTGTGGTAACTGGAAAAGGATTAGTGAAAAGGATTAGTGACACATGTGACATTTATTAAACTTTATTGAGTGCTTGTTGAAAATAAAGTTATCATTCATTGGTTGAATAGGTAGTCGAATATTTAAATCTTCATCATGCTCAACTACATGCGTAACTGCCAGGATTCCAACATCCTTTTTTTTTTTTAAAGAAAGAAAATTAGTTGTTGTCAATGTATATGATCAAAAATAAGTAAAGAATCATTATCAGATAAAGTTATTTCATGTCTTTAATTTTTCACATCTATGTAAATATATATATATTTTTTTTTGGGGGGGGGGAGATGGGGGGGGGGGGGAGATGGGGGTGGGATGTCTGTTTTGAAAGTCACAAAGGGGGTATGTCTGTTTAAAAAATCATGCATGAGGGGGGAGGGGGATGCAATTGTTGTACTCACTCTTATTACAGACCGGCTGGACACCAGACCACTGCCCGCTGGGTAGACATGTCCTCTCATCATTACCGCTGATGTTGTACCCCTCATTGCAATAGAAGCTCAGCTTCACTCCTACATAGAAGATATATTGACAGCATCGCCGGGCATTCACTGGCCATCCAGGGTCATCACAAGAGGCTTGCTTAACTGTATTGATAATCATATTGATGATGATAATGACAATAAAAATAGAAACAAAGATTTAAATATTGATGATGAAAATGACAATGATAATGACAGTAAAAATAGAAACGGAGATTTAAATCATACTTCTACTTCTATAACAGTAACTACTACTGCTGCTACTACTGCTGCTACTACTTCTATTACTACTATTACCACTACTACTACTACTACTACTACTTCTACTACTACTACTACTACTACTACTATTACTACTTCTACCACATACTTCTACTACCACTTAATGTACTACATGTATCTATAGCACAGATATGTTTCTTTGCACTGAAAATAAATATAAAAGATATGTATTTTTAAATCAAACTGCTTGCTTTTAGAAAAAGAATGTAGGCAAGCAAACATTTTTTTTGTCTTCATTATTATTGATAAAAAATGAAAGTTGATGGTGTTTTGAGATTTGAAATAGCCACCACTTTTCAGAGACATATTGAGCTTCTAAGCTTAAAACCCTAATTGTTGCCATACATATGTAGGAAACAAATAATCTTTTATACACAAGTTTATAAACAACTGATGTTTTATTAATATTCAGTATTAACAAAATCACTCATAATTTTGCCCAATTCAATTGCACCAGATTTATTCTTTCTTTAAAAGGACCAGTTTATCAAAGAAGATACTAATAAAGTAAGAATACCTTTAAGAATACCGTGAAATGATTCATAAACATTACCCCCTACCATCCATTGTCTATATGAATTTCCCCCTATAATAATGTCATAAGAATGTCAACAAGCATGAACAAACAGGCCTAGGGTAATAAAACAATAACCTATACCATAATTAACACAAGAGGGCAGTACAAAAGTAAATTGGGAGGTCTCCTAGTCTCAAACTAGGGACTTTTAGATTTGCACAACGATAACGTGGATTGCTATGATCGACGTCCTTTTAATGCACTGCCTTGAATGGACGTCACACGTATCAGTCCATGCTAAAAGTCCCTATTATAGGCTGTTGTCACTGAAAGAATGTGACAAATAATGAATGCTAAATGCCAAAGTACATGAGTACATAGATACAAAATAAAAAATAAAAATAGACTGTTCAAACCTCAGCATCCATTAAGGATTCAATATTTCAGCAATGTAATAAAACATGCATCACTTTTTTCAAAGATAAGTCCTTGGTTGTAGTTTAAGTAGGGTCCTTTCCTCCGTACATTGTGTTACATTTTCCCTCTATTTCAACTGCTACATGAAAAGGCAACGAAGATACCATAAATATATCATGTGCAATCACTCAAAATAAAAACTACAAGCCATACACAAATCACATATGAGGGCCCTGTTTCACAAAACTTATTATCATCAATAACAAGTAACAAAAATGGTTATAAGCTACTGAAATCATGGCATTTGATTGGCTGAGAGCAAAACTGTCATAGAATATCAGCATTTCATATTGATAACAATCTTTTTTTTTTTTTAAATAGGCGGATGAATATGTGTGTGTGTAAACATGCATCCTGGTCTCATACACTATTTAACATAATGTAGGGACAGAAGAAAGAAAGAAAGAAAGGAATATTGCATGGGAAGTTAGAATGACTAGCCCTGTCTTCATCAGCTCGAGATTGCCAAATATCCCGCTATTTAAACTATCCCGATCGCAAATTATCCAGTTAATTTGCGTCTTCATCAGCCCGACGTTGCAATAAGCGGGATATTTGGTCGAGATAATTATTTCAAGATATCATGCGTGAACGCTGAGCAAAATATCTTGAGCTAATTTCTCGAGCTTGAGTTTCAAGTTTAGAGGTCAACTCTCGAGCTGATGAAGACGCCATTTGTAACTTCAGGATTATTTCCCAAATCAGAAATACCAGGCTATTTGGCAACCTCAAGCTGATGAAGACAGGCCTAATGAATGTTATTCACACCCAAGGAGCATCTGAAGTGGTGGTCAACGCAATTTATAATTTATTTGTAGGACTTATATTCACAGCAGTGTATATTATACGCAAGCTGAAGGGAAGTCGCTATGTATCTCATAATTAATTTTTCTGAATTATGATCAAATGTAAAGTTGCCAAAAGCATGGACATTTATTGGAAATGTAGGTTGGGGTCATCCCCTGCCTGCCTGTCAACATATGCTGACATTTCCAACAAAGGAGAGAAAAAGAGTCACAGCTTCGATAACTAATTTTCAAAATTGGTAATTCTACACTGTGAATTAAACATAGGGAATCAACCTACATTCGTGATGATGAGAACCTGGCCACAAAGAAGTTCTGGCACACTAACATACCCCCAATCATACAATGATTGGCTCATTTTTTGTTAATATCCTGATGCATGTATGCACGCCACATTCTTGCGCACACATTTTCATGATGCCGGCCGTTCAGAATGGATCGCTCTTTTTCCAAAGGCGCAAACATGATCATGCAAACAATTCTCCCTTCTTTTTATTCTTCTTTCTCAATCCTCCCAAGTACACATGATGTCAAAAGTCTCCCAAAACACCAGAGAGCGCTGGGATGGCATCCCATGCATTCTGAATGGATCCCCTGTCAACCACACAGATGCCATGATCCATAATCGGACAAAAATTCACCAATTTCTCATCAATTTCCACCAAAATAATTCAGGGTGACATATGTGACCTGTGTTAAAGAGACTCAGAGAGATGGACTCCCTCCAACATGGGCCTGGAGATGCATAGATGCTATGTATAGCTTGAAACGACCACATGGAATTTGGAAGGAAAGAGAGTATTTTAGTTTAAATTTCTTGGGTATGATGAACTGAGAGATGGAAAGAAGAAAACATCTTTTGTAATGTCAAGTTACTGATAGCCATTAAGCTCTCTCTCTCTCTCTCTCTCTTATTAACTGGAGAAAAAAAAGGCAACTTCATTCATAAATCTAGGATGGTTCATTTTTGAAGAAAAAAGAGAATTCAAACAGAATTTTATTTACATTGGGCATCTAACAAATTTCTCTTAAATAATTTTAACACAAAAATGGAGTCATAGGTTGCTCATATCTTGCTTCAATGTAGCACAACTAAGTGTTGCAGATATTTTGACAAAGTCAATGATGCAAATATTTTTGCATTTAGCCTATGCAATCGAAAATTTGAATAATTGCACCGTTCCATAAAGAAAAAAGTCTTATAAAAAAGAAAGTCACTCATTCTCTTGAGAATCTACAATTCAGTCTACAACTAAAACTAAAACATTTCACTGAATAAATACACAACATAATCAAGAAAATGTAAACCAATAAATAAAATATATATCTAATAAGTGATCGATAAAACTAAATGATGGAGTGAGTCATTAGAATACTATCTAATTTTACTGGAATACAGAAAAAATTAAGATAGTGTTCTTTCTTGCACTGTCCAGCTACTATCCAAACGCAAATCATAAAAAATAGAGAAATTCTGGGAAAACTGTCTGACAAATCCATCAAATCTGTCCCTTTTTCCTTTACTTTCTCTCTCCTCTGAGGTTTCCGGGCAAAATTGAAATAAGACTTGTCCATTTAGCAACCGATGAAAAACAGAAGTCAATGTGATTGCTTCCAGATATCTGTCTGAAGCACTAATTCTAATAATGGGATACGTCATAATAAAGCTGAAGAAACATTTGTTTGAGAGCAAAAGGTCTCCACTCTGCTTCTTGGTGATCTGAAAAGGTCCCTTCTTCTCTCAGAGCCGGAGACACGAGTCACAAAGGTCATGTCCAAGGAACACAGCAAATATATTGATTCCACACTTAGTTGCAATTTTCATGCAAAGTAGTTTAGTTTTATTGCAATGGCAGACACAAAGTCTTTCCACCACAAAAGCCTCATGTTATAGGTGGATGAAGGCGCAATTTCGTAATTGGCACTGGAAACATTGGAATTTCAGCAGTCTAGATCCCAGACTGCAGAAAATTTGACATTTGACCACAATATATCTCAAAAGGACACCTCAACCTAAGCAATAAATCCTTCTTAAATACAGCAGGGAGGAGGAAAGGGGTAAGTAGGAAATCTTTTCTAAACAATGGTGCAGCACATGCTCTGGCAACTATTGCTCCACAGTTAACTAAACAAACTTCAACTCTGATATTTTGAAATCAATGCCAAACAATATACCCTAAAGTTAACCTTAGACACAATTGCAACCCAAGCCCTAACCTTACATTTTTGAGAAGAAAAAAAAGCCTGTTGCAAATGTCACAGGAGCAAATGTTGCCTGAGCAAATGATCATCTTTAATAGCCCCATATACCTACCACACTGTGGTTTCTCTCCGACCCAGTGCCCACTCTGACACTGTCTGGTAGGCAGGCCGCCTTGCATGATGAAACCAGTATCACACTTGTACTCCAGCATAGCACCAGGCATGTACCATCCCTCGCTGTCCGATTCCTGCCCACGCACCGTGTAGTGACTGTTAGGGACTTCTTGATCCGAAGGCAGAGCACAATCCATTCCTGCAAGAAAAATCCAATTCAATTCAATTTCTGTTTTATGATCTATAAAAGGGCAAAAGTATGAAGACCAACATTTTCATATTAAAAAATATAGTAAAATACAAAAAATGTGAAACAAGTTTATGGAAATGTACATGTACCTTAGTACATGGTTGAAATGGTTGAAATGGTTGAAATTTTGGATCAACGATGGTATATTTTTTCTTAGCATGTTTGGTGAAGCTATGGGAAGGGGATATATGCACCCCCTCCCCATCTGAATGACAAAAAACAATTGGCTAACTTGACATAGGAAACAATTCATAAATAGGAAGACAAATACACTAAAGGTCATCATTTTCCTTTTAATTTGACATCCCTACATTTGAAATAAACTTTATGTATATTTCAACTACAGGGAAATCCTCAAAATGTTTTGGTATACCACAGCATATGGAAACCATCATAATTTGTAATGCAACAAGCAGTATTCAGGAGTTTTGTTCAAAAACATATTCACATCTGCAGTAGACATCTCAAACAACAATTTCCCATCTAATTCAGAGTTGACTTTTTTAATAATGAGAAACGACAAGATTTACAATGTCATACTTGGTATTTTACTTCACATTTGAACTCATATGTTCCTTAAATTTGATTGCCTAGGATCATAACTGTGATGCAAATTTCCATGATTGGCACATGTGGTGATATAGTGAGTCCATTTATAAGATATGTGACTGCACAGAGTTCCGAATGAAAAACAATCATATCTTTTTACTTTTCAACAAAAGTCATGAACAAACACACAGGAAGTTTAGACAAATCGTCGCTGTTTTCACGAAGTGACGGTAGTGAAAAAAAATGCATTCACTTTGCGTTCCGATTTTCCTCACTACCGTCACTTCGTGAAAATAGGGACGAAATGAGACAACATTGTCAAAAATCCATATGTAATCAAACAAAAAAGACATAGACAATGTACATGCAGAGAACATGAGATGTTATTTACAAAAATGATCAAAACGAACAGAAATGATGAATTACACTACAAAGAAAGAAATCCTATGTCACTTTGTAGAGTAATCCTAGACAAGTTTTTTTGTAATGATCTTATTATTGGCGAGTATAAATCTTTTAATTTTAAAAATTGCAAAGAAAATTCAAATTATAATCAAAGACATTCTGAATACCTTCAGAGGGTATATGAAAAATCACAATTGAAATGATGTGTTAAGATACCATTCCGATACAGCTCTTTTTGATTAATTACAGTGCCATTCTCAGAGGTTCCCCCAAGCTTTTTGCATCAAAAATATAAAATGTAAACATTCTCATTTGCAAATTACTCAAAGGTTTGCACTTTATATCCCAAACAGCTGAATCAAGTGAAAGAAGAATTATTACATTTCCATTCTCAGATATTCATTCAAGCTTTTCTACTTAAAAAAATCTCAGAAAATGTAAACATGATTTTCTAATTTAACCACCTTCCCTTGAAAGGTTAATGAATTGTGTAAATGCTATACTCCATGGAAACCAGCAAATACGTACCACTATTAAAAGGTACGCACTTTGTACATGCATCTGAATCAAGTGGATCCTCTTAAACCAACCCACTTTTAATAGTGGTATAATCAAAACTACTTCTTGAAAAGAGTATCTGCGCCACTTGATCTCACATTTTTGAACTTATATAGCATCTAATTCATTAATGATGTTTCTAAGCATTTCTCAGATATCATCTCTCCCTGTCCTTAGATTCAAGCTTGCTCACAAACTTGTCTTAAAACTGTGGCATCAAGTGCAAGGGACTATCCCTTGGCCAGAATCTGCACTGCATAGTTCAAGGCGGTACTCACTAATCAAAGGGAATACCGTATCATTGCTAACGCCACTATGAACAAAGGCATACAGGGGAATACTAATATAGGAATATTGTCGTATTAGCATATGTACATTTGCTATGGTCTGGTGACTGACAACTACAAGGAATAGAGTTCAAAATCCTGCAGCAGCACTTACATCCTTTGGCAAAGACTTAATCTACATTTGCCACACTCGACCTGGGTGTAGTATGTGGGTACCCGGTAGGAATTATTCCTTGAATGGACTGAGTGCTACAGTTGCATGAACTGCAGCCGGGGTAATAATGTGATATGCGTTATAGAAGAATTATATATTATATATTATATATTATATATTATGATGTGAATAGGGCTGACCTATTGTCTCAATATAAATCATGTCTGATTAAGATTTCTGGTTCACTGAAAAACCCAAGTCTGACCAAAGATTAAAAGATTGGTCACAAGTGATGAGATATGGGGCTAAATCTTTACACATGAGCTTAGCATGAAACCAATGATAGAAAAGCATCTTACTTGGTGACACAGTTATGTCAACAGTAAGTATTATCTTGATATCTTACATGCCTAATGACGGATCTGCTAGGTATACTCACTCCCACACATAATAACAAGAAAGCTATTACAAAAAGCAACCTGCGGCAACAACTATAACCTACCCATCAAAATAAATCAAAACTCTTTTCACCTTTAATGACAAATCATTTGAGATACATTCTCAATAACTGTGTGATCCTTCATGATTAATGATGTTCTTGATAAATACAGATGAAAATAACTACCGGTACAACCCTGCATGGCAAAAAATCTTCTTTTAATGATCTTATTATCGTTCTTGATTTTCCTTGGTTGAGGAAACTATCCAGTTCTGTTCCAGGGTATGCTTTAGGCCACAAAACCTGTTTTCTTTTTCATTTTAAACAAAAATGATATAATTTTTGTTTTACTGGTCAAGATTGATTACTGATTAATTACCAAGACATACAAATAAAAACTTCTTTTTATATTTTGGTAAAAGAGAACATCCAGATACGTTGAAGGACCCATATAACTGGTCAGGAAGTAGTATGATGGATCACCAAAGGCTATGTGTTTCGAGGACTTTAAAGAAAGACAATTCTGGTATGTCAAAATTTCCTATAAAAAAATTGGGGTACTGCACATAAGATACATGACTACGTCAGCTTTCCTTCATCTCCATCCATCAGGTTTGTAAGTGCTTTTTTTTAAATAAATGACAGCACCTGCAAATTCATATTAAAAAAGTTTAACTTTTATTTGGCATTACTTTCTTTTCTGACAATATTCCACAGATTTTTATGGAGGATTTATTCAAAAAATCACAACAAAGCTATATTTTCAAAGAAATATTACAACTGGAATTTGTTTTCTTGTTAGATATATTGAGTGGCAAAAAATTTAAACAGCAACTTTAAAGGTGAACAAAGGATGCATCTACAAAGAAATTTATCTTCATAATGTGAGTCTATTGTGATTTGATGGAATGTCAGAATTATAAGTAACATTCTGAAAAAGTTTCAGTGCTACTTAATGGGATCTTCTTTTTTTCATTTACCTCTTTAAGTTGTACACATGTGCATGACTTAAAGAGAAGGTTGAGTTTTGGGAGAGGTGAAAAATACTTTGGATAAATACTTATATGCTACATGATCAACTTTTCCTGATTGATTCCACACCGTTTCTTTCACAATGCAATCGCATGACCAGAACTCAACTGAATGTTTAAATACATTAAATAGGGTGGTTTTCATTAAGCGATTAACCAAACTTTTCCCCCAGTAGACAATCTGTAATATTCTTCTTACTCACTTACTCCATTTTCTAACAATTGTTCAGGGACACTGTAATTGAAAAATATTCAACATCGAAGTTACAAACTTTGATTCTGAAAGCTTTGTTACATGGGCTTTCAACTCACCACACATTCTCGATCTAACATGGACAAATTCTCCTTTATCTGCGGGCCTTATTTTCGTTTTTCCAACCTAGACGATGCAAAGTTTATCAATAATTCCTGGCCTCCTCCCCCACACTACTGCAAATTAAGGACCACTGTTTATAGATAGGTGATTCATTGTTAACTATGCCATCACTCAGTATGGCTTTGTATAAGACCCTCGACACCAATCTAATCGTTGCAATCAAATGGGCAATTTATCAATGTGCAATCAAGATTTTTTTCTTCTAAATATATAATTGCTCTGGCCTTAATTTGCCCTGATATAGCCACTCCACTTCAGATCATATATATTTCATCATCATATTGTTAAGATGTGCGTAATAGAATCTCAACTTACATTTTGCCTAGTCGGGGGAATAAAGTTCTCTGGGTGTACGAATTCAGCTACAGGATAATTAATCCAGGGTTTTGAAACAAAAGTTCACGGACTTGATATCGACCTAGTATTAGGTACTCTGTTGTCTAAGCAATCTGGATAAATAAAAGACCATTACTGCCACCTCCAATGAAGTTGCCGGAGATATGTTTAAACAAAAAGGAGACCTTCAAAAGACAGAGAAGCATAACGGACAGATGTGGAACAAATCGAGGTATACCATAGAAAGCAAAACAACATCCAAGAGTCCATGATAAATAAGCAGTTGATATTACATGCATGATTTGAGGAGCCTGATCTTAACCTTTACATCCATTTTGATATATCTTCATGAATCCTTATTTAAACATGAGCGCACATTCCATCTCAATAATTTGCCACCTTCATCTCAATCCGTTAGACTTAAAACCCAACAGAACAAATATATACCAGTAATTGAAAAACTGTAATCCTGTTTTTTCCTATATATATCTCGCCTGGGGCAGATAAAAAAGTTTGAAGAACATGAAAGTCAGAGTAGAATTTTGATGATCATATTTTTTCTCCTGTAATAATCTCCATTGACTATGCATGTCATTACACATGATATTCCATGGAAACCCTACATAAATCTTGACCTTTGTATTCTGTAAAGAAGCTGTACAAAACAAAAAAGTTAATACACGGGTGACGTGTTGACATGATGATCATGATAAAGGACTAAGTGCAGGATAATCCACAAATCCTTCCGTCACGGAGGGATTTTCCGACAGGGATTCCGCTAAGGATATTCAAACCTGGCCTTATATTCTTCTTA